ACGCTTTATAAAAGGTATCGGGGTTATGAACTTCCACTTCTGTGCTTCTTAAATGAAAAACAGGAAAGCATTCTTGCAAAACATTTCACTGTCTTATGACCTTCATACACTATTTCCAATGATGAGAGTAACATATAGAAAAACAAATGATTGAGAGCAATATAAAACATATAAATGAATAAAATGATAAAAACAACAGAAATCATAATAGCTCCAACAGTTGGGTCTTTTAAAAATATGCGAAAATCCTCCACTATACCTTTAAGTATTAGGCTGTATTTAAAATAGTTTCATATTTCTGAAAAAAATGTGCGGTAACTTGTAAAGTAATTAAGTTTCAAGGCTCCGTTTAGCAGGAGCAGCATGAATAAAATGGTTTATATGAGACTGCAACAACTGTTTGATTTTATGTTTTCCAATAATGCTGAATGTTACTAATTTGAATCATACCTAGATTTATCTTTTACATTCAATGGAGATTTTCGACTTATTTCAACCTCGAAAATAAAACTATTAATATGTATTTTTATAGGGCTGTAATAAATACAGTAGTAAGGTGTTTAGCGAAGAGTAAGAAAGATTTGAAGGTAAGAAGTTTGCTGATGTTTAGACCAACCTTTTGCTCTTTTTTTCAGGTACAAGGTGCTGATGAGGGGCATTCTGCTGCCAGATGACCACAGGGGGCGCTGCAAGCAGCTGCTGCATCTCTATGACAGCAGCAGCTCAGATTGGCAGCTCGGAAAGACCAAAGTAAGGCCCAAACAGTTTCTGTTTTTTAACCTTTTTCTTCTCACCTGCAGTAAAAGTGATTGTAAAATTTGTTCTTTTTAGTATTGCTTTGACCTTAAACTGGAATCAAACTAAAGCTTTATAATTGTAAAATAAATCTAGCATTATTAATAAAATACTGAAATGAGAACGAAATGGTTCAGTGGACAAAACAACTCGCTAAGGAATGGTTTTTGTCGCCTTGGGCCTATTAAAATTGTGCTGAGGCTTAGAAACTAATTTTCTCACATATATCTCTGCAGATTTACTTTCTCTGTCTATCAACAGTGAGCTCCATCCCTTTTGTCAGTATAATCGACTCTTGCCTGTCAAACCTTGAGTCCCTGAATGCTCCACCATCCTTTTTGCCTCAGGCTAACCCCAGTAGAAACGTATTCTCCCTGCTAGAATACAGTGTGATTGGATCCGGACTCCCCCCCCCCACCACACAGATGCCAATCCATTCGAGCTTCTCCCTGCTTCCCTCAAGGCTTAATTTGGCTTCATATGTCCTACAAATTCAGCTCACAGAAACCATTCAGAGCCTCTTGCTCTGTGACTGCACCGTGTATGAATAACCGAGGTCATGCTCACCTGAGGCTTGGAATGTGACGGTTATTGGACTCCACTCCTCAGTCACAATCTGCTACCACCACACCGGATCAGGAAGAAAAGCTGCTGCCAGCATGTGTGTGTGTGTGGGCTTGAGTCATTTTGTGTCGGAGTGTGTGTGTGAATGCCTTGGGAAAGTGACAGATGGGGGACACGGACCACCGATCCCAGCATGACGGTGATGACAGCAGAGGGCGAAACCTGTGTGTGTGTTTGAATGTCTCCTTTTCAGAACAGAAACTAGAGCAACTGAAATAAAACCATGGTCACTATACAAAAAAATAAGAGGGAAATTGAATTACGAAGTCCATCCATTACCATGACCATTAATAAAAGAACTGGCATAAAGACAGTTCTGAGATTTTTTTTTTTTTGTGTGCAAACGTTGTAGAAATTCTTTAGTGTCGAGCTAGAAAAGTGACCTCTGTCATGTTCAAACATTTCTAATGTCAGATACATAATGACTCAGTGATGATGTGCTACACTATAACTACCTCATACAGCTGTGAACCACTGGGTTTACTGTAATGCATATAGGTTCGGTCTGCTTGGATTTTTAGGGTTCACGTATAGAGTATTTAATAAGATAATGATGTAAATACCTGTAATAAAAAGAGAAGTGACAGAAAGGTTTCATAGTGTTTGGGATGAACAGCAGAGTTCAAATGTAATGGGACCTGACATCTGTGTCACTGAACCACAGAGTCGTTTCTGCCACCTCCCTGCAAACTGTTAAATCAACCCAACGTCCCTCTGAGGGTTTTGTCCACTTTGTCGCATGGAAAGATTTACGTGAGACTCCTTTCAGTCGGCACATGTCCAGATTGTTGCTTCAGAGTTCCGCTTTGTGCTTTTAGAAAGTAAAACTTAATTTGCTGGACGGGATGCGTCTCCACGTGGCTCTGCTCAGCTTCTGTTCCCTCTAGGGGCCTGACCCCCCACACAGCCAGAATCAAAAGGCTTAGCAAAGCTTTTTGTTGTGCTAATTAACACAGTAATGACTGAAAGGGATTTGCTGTTCAGTGTGTTGTTAACGGATTCAGAAAGCCTGTGTGATGTAAGTTGCATTGGGATAAATTAGCTTCATTTCTCCTTAAATAATCCTTTCCAGAATGATATTTGGTTTGTCCTTCTCTACGTCTCTAGCATGTAGAGTTTAAAATGGTTAAAATATTATTCATTTTCTAGTCAAAAAGAAGCAGAGTTCTGCAGACTTACCAAAATGAAAACAGTACAACAGGAAGTGAGGGTGAGAAATGTTGATGTGCAAATTAACCCAATAGCAAATGTTTCCCCCAGATCTACAACTCTGCTGTGGACCTTTGCTTCATCTAGGAAGCATGTGGAGTCTGGTTATTATCCATCTACATACATAGTTACTGCGGTTTCTATAAACACCTCAGGTTGATTGGACACTTGAATAAATCTGAGTACAGTTGTCTGTGTGGAGCTGTGATTGGCCGAGGTCAAAGCTGCAGCCCTTTTACAGACCGGTGGCTCACCAGTGGCAGGCTCCTTGATTGTTTGGAGCATGTTTTCAGTCTGCCCTGACACTTTAAGGTGTTCTTGCTCTGGCAGCTGCATCTGATCACAGATGACGGCTTTCCTCATAGTCAAAAAGCTCTGGTGTCTAATGCAGGCGTTAATTAACCTGCATGTGAGCCCCATACAGGCGATGTTACTTATCAGAAAGTCTGGTGTGTGCCTCAATGGTTAGGCCTCAACAATAGACCCATTTACACTACCCTCTGAAAACCGATCCGTGCCGAGCTTGAATCAGTTAACCCTGCAAGGCTTGGTTCCTTACAACTATTTATACATCAGTACTAGTACAATTTCTCTCCTCCTAGTGATGGTCTACAGTACTACTGCTCTCTAGAGGTAAACATGAAAATCAACAAGGCGGTTCCAGTAACATTCATGAAGTTTGCAGACAGTCAGGCAAAGAGGGAAGCTCTTGGTGAATCTACTTGACAGAGTCAGCTTTTGGGAAGTGGATATGACAAACGATCGTCTAATCAGGGCTTACAGAACGAGCCTGAACTGAACCGCGCTGAGCCCTACTGATGAACTAGTAAGATGTTAGCGTGGTTTGGTTGTGTCTGGCATGGTCCGGTTCAGTCATGCGTACCATGTACATTTACCGTCTCGGTTACCGTGCTCAGACCGATCTCGGCACGGTTTAAAAAGGGTAGTGCAAATGGAGCTAATGTCCTTCATCTAACAGCACACACACACATCCATTCCCATCTTGTTATATGTAGCGAGGACCATGTGTCTACTGCCTTTGATTTTCAATCGTTTTTAACCCTAGCATTTACAATAACCATAAACCTAAACACTACCAGTGCAAACCAAACCCTAATCAGAACACACCTTACACCTAAATGTTAGCGAAAAGGGAGGCAAGAACCAGCAAAACTTTAATCTGTGGCACAAACAAGCCTTAGTTTGATGGTGAACTTGGAAAAATGTTCCTCACGCTATTGACAAACAGGAACACACACAAACACAGCTTTCTTCTCAACTAGAGGGGTATGTCCTTTTACCTCCCAGCCCTGTGATATTCCCCCACAATATGAGCCCCACAGAGACCGTGTCCCTTATCTCATTTTCCTCCCTCCCTAATCGGATTAACCCCAGCATCCCCAGTGGACCCAGTTTCTCTATCAACAGGCGACAGCATCCAGCAGCTCTAAGTGCCTTTAGCATTGGCCTTTATGCACAGAGCAACAGTGAATCTGTAGACTTTAGTCACTCTAACAAAAGGAGGCGAGGTTCCGGATTCGATTCATGTGGAAGACTTTGTTCAGCTCCACTGTTTTTTTTTTTTTGTTTCGTTTTTTCTTGTTTTGGAAGGGATTTTCTGAATTCTGCTGTATTTTCTTTAAATTGTTTATTCAATAATTGTGTCTCACAGATGATGTTTTTATGAAAAAGAGGATTCAGTTAGGGGGGAATTCCCTTTTTTTGATGAAATGCACCCTGCAGCATAACTTTTTTTAGGATCTGTGAATTTGCAGTTCTTTGAGCAAGTAAATAAAAAGACGTGACTTTGCTCTTGAAATAAAACAATTAGAACTTGAAATAAGATAGCTGTGTTATTTTTTTCCTATTTTCATTGTAAATAATCTTATTCAGTTGGCTGAATGTCAAACATACCTGCTCAAATCAGGTAAAATACAATAATTTCAAGAAAATAATACTTTTATTGCAGTTTATGTAAGCAGGTTGAATGTTGTTTGTTCATATTCTGTGTTGTAGAGCCACCCTAACACAAAAGTAACTATTCATTTTAAGAACTTTTTGCTAATTTTAGCAGTTAGGAACTGGTTCATTGGAAAAACGATCTTAAATGAAGTAAAATTCTTTAAATTAAGTTTATTTACCCTTAATTTGAATAGGTAAATGAGATCATTTGCCAATGGAATTAGTATTTTTAGTCTTAAAATAATATATTTAGATAAAATGAACTCAAAAGAAGACAATGCCATTGTGTTTTCTTATTTTAAATGTAAATTGTGTTGTTCCACGTATCCATTTACAAAGATTGACATGTTTGACCATATTGACAGGAAGAGCGTGAAAATGTTTTTTAATCTCTTAATGAATGGAACTGTATCTAATGTAACCACAAAAAAACAGAGTTTGTAATAGAGTCTAAAGGTAGGTAATATACAGTGGTGTAAAAACCATGTTTAATTGAACCCGAGCGGCTAATTTTAAGGTACCTCATCATTGCAGTATGTCATTTCGAGGAAAATGGCATATGGTTCAAATGGTTATTAAAGGAGCTTCTAAAATTTATTGGTTTTAGCGTTTCCAATATCTTACTTTTCTTTCCTCTGCTTTTACAACATTTGATTAAATCTACCCCTAAGTTGAGTTGGTAAATAAGATGATCTGCTAAAGGAATGAGAATTTTACCCTTAAAATACGATAATTAGATCATATGCACTTGAAATAAGAGATGGCAGTTTTGTTTTGTTATTTTAAATGTAAATTATCCTTTTCCATTGGCAAAGTGTCTCATTTACCTGCTCAATTCAATACGAAATGCACTTATTTTAGGAAAAAATTACTTACTTAGATGTAATTTCTGTTGTAGTGCTGTTCACCTAAAACGACAGTTTGGCTAAGTTGGTTGATATCGACTGAACTGAGTTTATCTCACGCATAGACATTTATCTCAATGATCACATCGGTGTATGTATATTTGTATATACATATATATTTTATATATATTTTGTATATACATACTGTACATGTGATCCTTTTTTTTTATTACAAAAAATCCAAATAGGCTTAAGTTTCTTGTTGAGATTTATGTTAATAGATTAAATCCAAATTCAATCTTGAAAGAGAAAGAAAAGTTTTATTTTCTTGTGAAAATTTAGAATCAATTGGACCATATATTCTCCACTTTTGTCATTAGATGCTGTAAATACAGTATAGTGAGAGAAAAAATAAAACCAATTTTTGGTTTGATATCATTGTTAACTCTCCAGCGTTTGTTTCTCTTCCTCTCCTGCCATCTCAGGTCTTTCTTAGAGAGTCCCTGGAGCATCGGCTGGAGAAGCAGAGGGAGGTGGAGGTGCTGAAAGCAGCCATGATCATCCAGGCCCACATCATGGGCTACATGGCAAGGTATTATTTAAAGCTAAACTCCAAGTAATGTTCATTGTATGGCCATAAAATGACGCTTTGGTTTCCCTGGCGGCTTTGCCTCCAGGAAGCAGTACAGGAAGCTGCTGCAGTGCATCGTGGTCATTCAGAAGAACTACAGGGCTTTCTACTACAGGAGGAAGTTCCTCCTCCTGCGCTGGGCCGCACTCACCTTTCAGAAGCGTTTGCGGGGCCAGCTGGCCCGCCGGGCCTTCAGCCGGCTGCTGGAGGAGAGGAGGGAGAGGGAGGAGTGCCGCAGAAAGGTGGAGGAGGAGATGGAGAGGTGAGATTTGTCCTGATTTCTCCATCAACCCTACCTGCTTAAAAGCAGCTGACATTTATTGGGTTTTTTGTCTTTGCAGGGAGAGACTGAGACTGGAGGCTGAGAGACTCTTCAAAGAGGTGGAAAATTGGTGTTATTATTTATTGTAGCTAAAATAAGTAAGCTTAAGTAAAAAGACAGGCAAACAAAATGTGTTTTAAAGCAGCAGAAATAACCCAGTTGAGTGATAGAAATGTTGCTTTTATTCATGTTAACATTTCAGCTATGCAGTGAATGATTAACTTTCTAAATGGCTTAATTTTTATCAGAAGTTTTTGCAACATAACAAACTTCTTCTGGTTTAATATCATGTAGTCCTCAGACATTTAATGCTCTCTGAATGACTTTTGCTTTATTTAAAGAAATAATTAAATCTAACATCTCCAACAAACATGTTTCCATCAGACAGTTTTATGTTTTGTTTTTTGTTTTTGGTCTTTTTCAAGGCTGAAGAAGCTCGTCTACTTCAGGAGCTACATCGCGCCCAGGAGCTGCATCGCGCCCAGGAGCAGCATCGCATCGAGGAGCTGCATCGCGCTGAGGAGCAGCATCGTGCCGAGCAGATCGCCTCTCTTGGTTTTGCTCAGTCTCAGCTGGAAGAAGCTGCTGCAGCATCCCCTGAAACACCGGCAGAGCTGGAATCAGTGGATGTCTTTGAGGAGGCAACAGAAGAAGAGGCCATCCGTCCCCAGGAGGCGTCTCAGGTTGAAGAGATCCTCCGGTTGGAGAGAGAGATCCAGGCGCTGCAGAGGCAGAAGGAGCGTCAGGAGCTCTCCCTGACCGAAGCGTCCCTCCACCGCCTGCAGCGTCTTCGGGATCAGGAGCTACGGCGGCTGGAGGATGAGGCCTGCAAGGCGGCACAGCAATTCCTCGACTCGCTGAACTTCGATGAGATTGACGAGTGTGTGAGGAACATTGAGAGCTCCTTAGGTGTGGAAGAGGGAGAGGAAGAGGAGAAGGAGAATGGAGGTAGGAGACGCAGCGATGAGGAGGAGGTGGATGAAGGGTTTGGAGCCGATGATGAGGCTTTCAAAGACTCGCCTAATCCGAGTGAGCATGGCCATTCAGACGGTCAACGGACAAGCGGAATCAGAACGAGCGACGACTCCTCCGAAGAAGACCCGTACGCCAACGATGTGGTGATCCCACCGATGCCCCTCACCACCCTGCTTCACCAGCCGCTGCCTCCTTTACCTTCAGCCTCCCACAGCGTCTCATCCAGCGGCGACTCCGCCTTCTGCCACCCGCAGGCTTCGTCTGAGGCGCCGTCCGACGACCTGGTGGAGCTGATTCCGCCGGATGAGGACTCTGACTATGACCAGGATGACTATGATGAGGGTGCCATTGTGTCCAGCGGCAGCATGGCCTTCTCCAACTCACGCAGTGGACAGTGGTCTCCTGATTACCGGGGCTCAGTGGGGACATACAACAGCTCTGGAGTTTACCGCTTCAGCTCTGAAGGCGCTCAGTCATCGGTGAGTTTCTTATCCTGGAGACTGACTGCAACTGGTCGGGTTGACCATGTTGGATGCATTAACAATCAGTTGATTTCATTAACAGATTAACCTTTTCATGCTATATTTATTTTATTCCCTCTTTGGATCACTGAAAACATTTAAATTTGTTTAATCAGCAGTTAGTCCAACTTTAAAGGTTATAGTTTGCAGTTCCAGCTTCATCCAGATTGAGAGAAAGCCTAAATCTAGGCCCACATGTAAGGCTCTGGTTAAAGTGCTGGACGAGGTGACCCAGCTCACACAGGGTTACCGTCTCTGCAGTCTGTCCTACAGATGCCCTCAAATTAAAATCTTTAATGTGTTGGTGAACAGAGAGGTCCTGGACTGACTCTGCCAGCAATGGTCCTGTGCTAAAACAAATCCACTTTATCAGCCCTCCACCTCCATGCCTACCAGCTGGTAGGAACTGTTTGAGGTGATGGGCTGTGCTTGGTTTTCTCCACAGATGATGAGGTTCTGGATGTTTTGCTGAAATGCGACTTTGCAGATCTGAGTTGTTGTTAAAGGCAACTGAACCTTAGCAGGTTAATTATTGGTAGGATTCCTGCTTCCTCTCGTCGCATCGTGATGTACCCCTGGGCAAGCTACCCACTGGTTTAAATGTGTGTGTTCAACGTAGCTCTTGTGTAAAACGGTCTAAATGCCTGATAAGACTGGATAAGTGTCTCAGATCTGATCCTTATAACTTTTGCTTAATTTTCAAAGAAAAGAGGCTTTTTCTTTGTCCGGTCCTGAAACCTAACATCTAACACACCAGCTGAAGCCTGTCCTTTGAGCTGAGGCTCTTTGTTTATTATTAGTTTTTCGTCCAAAGAGCAGCCTAAAATATTTCTAACTTGTTTCTCACAAGGCCCCGAAACCCGTCCCAAACTGATCAGCAGCAACAGGTGAATCTCAGTGCCATTGTCTTTCCATCCTGGCATTGTGTTCCCACACCTGTCTGTATGCTTCAGCACAGCTAGCCACCAGAACGCCTATTTACACACTTAAATCCCATGAACGCAGCAGTTCTTAACTCACAGGTTTTCATTAGGAAAACTGCTGTTGTTGTTTTTTTATTTCCGAGGCTCAGTTTATGTAAAGAATGATACCAAAATTCCATCCTATGTTCTGATAACAAACTGATTAATTTTAAGACATAGTATTTTCTTTTTCTCTTAAGAGAGATCCTCAAGCTTTGAATATTTTGTCTGACTTTTGTTGCAGTTTGAGGATAGTGAAGACGACTTTGACAGGTTTGACACAGACGACGAGTTATCGTATCGACGGGACTCTGTCTACAGCTGCGTCACTCTGCCGTACTTCCACAGCTTCCTGCACATCAAAGGTAACTCCTCTCTCTCTACCATTTAATCTGAAAAAGCAAAAGGATTTTTAGAGCTCCTTCTTTAGGTGATTTAAGGCCACAAGCAGCCTGCTGTCAGAGCGTCCTCCCTCACTGTAGCAGGAAATAATGTTCTATCCTTTCATCCTCAGGGGGTCTGATCAACACGTGGAAGCGGCGCTGGTGTGTTCTGAAGGACGAGACCTTCCTGTGGTTCCGAGCCAAGCAGGAGGCGCTGAAGCAGGGCTGGCTGCACAAGAAGGGAGGCGGCTCGTCCACGCTGTCCCGCCGCAACTGGAAGCGCCGTTGGTTCGTGCTGAGGCAGAGCAGGCTCATGTACTTTGAGAACGACAGCGAGGAGAAGATGAAGGGGGTGCTGGACATGCATAATGCCAAGTAAGAAACACAAAAGATCTCCCCCTGGTTTTACTCATCTTACAACGATGCATTTTGATCCACTTGATCAATACTTACAAGAACGTTTTGATTATTTTTTGTTTTTTTGATCTGCAGAGAAATAGTTGACAACACGGGTAAGGAAAATGGTATCGACATTGTGATGCCAGAGAGGACCTACCATCTGATCGCAGAGTCTGCTGAGGACGCAAGGTGTGTCTTGTGCTCTTTAAACATGTCTTAATCCCACCCAGAACCTTCTCATACCTGCAGAGTTTCTCACAAACAGTCCATTTACCTGGAAACCTAGTGTTATAAATACTGACTAGTAGCTGCTCTGCACAGCGTCCCTTGTAAAGAATAATGATTGCTAAAAATCTGCTGTTCATGGAGAATTAAATCAGAGTATTAAAGGAAAATTTGTGATTCCGTTCTACTTATTTTAGCTCAATGAGCTAAAATACTCATGCTACTAAACAAGCCAGTATTGCCACCCCTCCACCTATGCTCTTTGGGAATTAGGGTTATTGTGATGGTGTTTTTACTGACTCCCTTGCTTGGCATGCAATGTATTCCCTCTTTCTTTATTAAAAACAGCAGTTCAACTCTTCAAATCTGAAGAGGAAACAAACATACTGTAGGAGTAGATTAGATTAGTAGATGCAGTTTTGCATGCATTTTTTATTGAGGTGCATTCACACAGAACTTGAAGAAGCCAAATGGAGCGAGTCATTTACATGTTATCTTTTAGGCAAAAGACACGATCAAAAGCAAATTAATGGTTAGAGACATAAAGGATGTATTCTGACTGATGCAAATGGTGCAAATCAGGCAAATCGACTAAAGCAAACAATGAATAGACGCAATGGAAGCACAAAAAGACAGAAGCCAGGTTTTGCCTTAGTTCAAGAATCTAAACTTTTCTATTAATTTGCATTGTGTAACCAATCAGGTACTGGATATGGTTGTGATCTAGGGTGAAGGAGCGCAGAGGACACCACATTTTTGGACACAAAGAGAAAAGTACTACTGTGACAAATTTTAATCTGACCATAGCTCTTAGGTTGTTAGGAGCGTCTGTCCATCTGTTCTTGTTTGGATTTCCACATTAAACACTTCATTGTGACTCGCTCAGGAATATCAAGGTCCTTCATATTGAATTGAACAAACAGGAGTAATGAGCAAATGGACAGAAAGTTCTCCTGTTTGATGACATGGTGAATTAAATTCACTTTCTGTATATAGCACCACCTTACAACAAATGCCATCTGAAGCTAGCGGAGCTAGGATTACATTTCCCAGTGTCACTTGTGAGGGAGATTCAAAATGTCCTTTTCACACTGTCATATTTGGTGTCAAAGCACCTTCAGGGTACTCTAGTTTTAAGCTTAAGCTCACCGCTAGCAAAGAGAACAGAAGAAGGAAAGAAGTTTTAATAGATGATGCTCAAACTAGGAAGAAGTTCTTATGAAGGGTGAACCTCCACTTGAATCACACGATGTAACGATTTTACTTATTGAACAGGTTTATGTTAGTGAGATAAAATGTTTTGCATTTGATAAAAATCATGCTGATGGTGTTTCCATGGTTACAGTCAATGGTTCAGCGTGCTGAGTCAGGTCCATGGCTCCACCGAACAGGAGATCAGTGAGATGCATGATGAGCAGGCCAATCCCCAGAACGCTGTGGTGAGTTCACCAAACGTTCACCAATATTCCTGATTCATCTCCTCTTTTTTTTTCAGCAATCCAGCAATATTGATGAAGCATCTTTTCTACCTGTAACCCTTTTATTCCTCACCTGCATTCTTCCTTCCTCAGGGAACGTTGGACGTGGGCATGATTGACTCGGTTTGTGCATCAGATAATCCAGAAAGGTATGTGTTTTCATGTCTCCATGAGGTCTTCAGTCTATCAAAAGGCAAGTTATCTGTTTCTTAAACCATGTTTTCTCTTGTGTTAAAACCAGACCAAACTCTTTCGTCATCATCACTGCGGAGCGGGTGTTGCACTGTAACGCCGACACGCCTGAGGAGATGCACCACTGGATCACCCTCCTGCAGCGCTCTAAAGGAGACGCCCGGGTGGATGGCCAGGAGTTCATCATTAGAGGTAGGTTTCAGGATGGATATGAGGAGAGAACAGTCTGTTACTATTTCTTGAAAAAAAATGGAGAAGAACAGTAGCTAAAGAAAAATGTCTATTGAAAACTTCCTTCATCATTTCCTTCCTTCCCTTCTACTTTCCTTCTTAATTTCCTTCTTTCCGTCCTTATTTCTTTCCCATTTCTTAACTATTACCTTCCTTATTTCCCTCCTTATTAATTTACTTACTTACTTATTTAATTCACTGTTTCCTTAACTATTTCCTTACTTACTTATTTCCGTCCTTATTCATTCCCTTCCTTCCTTCCTTCTTCCTTATTCCCTTCCCTTTTTCCTTACCTATTTCCTTCCTTCCTTTTTTAGCCTCTAGGCCTGTATAAAAGGCTGGATTACAGTAGAAAATCTACTAATAAATCATAGTTAGGTTCTGAACAAGAGAAAGCTCGTTGAAGAATCTGAATTCAATTCAAATTTCAATTCAGTTTATTTATATAGCACTAATTCACAACAAATTTCATCTCATGGCACTTTACAGAGACAATTCAACCATATCATACAGTCAGACTGGTTCAAAGTTTCTATCTAAGGAAAACCAGTTGATTGCATCGACTCATTGACTCAAAGGCGATCCCTCACACTAAGCATGCTTGTTGCGACAGTGGAGAGAAAAAACTCCCTTTTAACAGGAAGAAACCTCCAGCAGAAGCCAGACTCAGTGTGAGCGGCCATCTGCCGAGGCCGACTGGGATTCAAGGAGACAGAGATAGACTTACAGAAAGAAGCAGAAATAAAAGTACTGAAGAGAACAATGTTCTTAATTCCGGATTGGAAAATGATTGTCTCAAATACCTGCAAGATCAACCATAAATAAAACTAAATACTTGAGTGCTGAGATTTCAGATTTTATGTAATAGATTTGTACACTTTAAAAGGTTGTAAAACAAATAGAGCAGAATAACAGAGATGAATTGATCTTCTTCAGGCTGGTTGCACAAAGAGATGAAGAACAGTACCAAAGCCTCAATGAAGCTGAAGAAACGCTGGTTCCTGCTCACCCACAATTCCCTGGACTACTACAAGAGCTCAGAGCGGAACGCCTTGAAGCTGGGAACCCTGGTGCTGAACAGCCTCTGTTCTGTGGTGCAGCCGGATGAAAAGTTCTACAAAGAGACCGGTAAGTTCAGGGCATAAGTAGAGGAATTCATGTCCCACTGTCTTCTTGTTTTCATACAGCTCACATGTTTGAATTTTGCTTGGCAGGATACTGGAATGTGACGGTCTATGGACGAAAACATTCGTACCGACTCTACTGCAAGCTGCTGAACGAAGCCACGCGTTGGGCCAGCTCCATCCAGAATGTCATCGACACCAAAGCTCCCATCGACACACCGACACAGCAGCTCATCCAGGACATTCGGGTAAATAATAATATTCTCTCTGTGCAGCTGAGGCTTAGCTTAACAGGGTTAAAGGGACTTCTAAGATGTAAAAGTCCTGAGCCTGTTGTGATACAGGTTCGGATTGGAATTCTCCAGTTAAAGATCAGCTGTGCTTTTGTCTGCAGGAGAACTGTCTGAACTCAGAGGTGGTGGAGCAGATCTACAAGAGGAACCCCATCCTGCGCTACAGCCACCACCCGCTGCATTCCCCGCTGCTGCCGCTGCCCTACGGAGACATCCAGCACAGCGGTAAGACGCAATACAAAAACAGACATCCATCAACTGGGCCAGGAAGGTGACAAAGATCCCAACCACCTTCCATGACCTTTAGCTTCTTATCCTCAGTCATCTCTAACAGATTTGATCCTCACAGGAGTAGCTAGAATTTCACCAGGTACCCTGATGCAAGTCTGGTCTTGATTCTGAAGTATTTCATTTAAGATTATATTCTAGAAAGAGCGGTTTTAAAAAGTGGTAATGTTCTAGTACCTATCTGATTCACCAGAGAGTACATTTCATCTTCTCTCCTCTGTCTCTCACCCAGTGTCACGCAGTAGAAGCTACACAACCCTGCAGGATGAAGCCCTCAGAGTGTTCAGCTCTCTTCAGCACCTTGACGGAGTGGCTGACCCCGTCCCCATCATCCAGGGGATCCTGCAGACAGGTCAGGAGCTCAAACCGCTGCGTGACGAGCTCTACTGCCAGCTGATCAAGCAGACCACCAGGCCGCCGCAGCCTGGGAGCCCTGGGAACCTCTGCAGCTGGAAGATCCTTGCCTGCATGTCCTGCACCTTCGTCCCCTCACGGAGCATCCTTAGATACCTAAAGTTCCACCTGAAGAGGTAAGCAGTGGTGTACAGAGGGGACTTCTTTTATTCCTGTAGCTTACAGTTGACCTGTTGACCTGGTATCTGTCCACAGGACCCGTGAGCTCTTCCCCGCCTCTGAGATGGACCGTTACGCCGCCTTCGCATTTGACTCTTTGAAAAAGACTCGATCTAGGGAGAATGTGCCGTCGCAGGAGGAGATCCGCTCCATCGTGGCCCGGCAGGAGATGAGCACCACGGTTCACTGCCACGGGGGAGGTTCCTGCAAGATCACCATCAACTCTCACACCACAGCCGGAGAGGTTAGTTCCCTTACCAAAGACAACAGAAGGTCACTGATCATAACAAATATACCAAAAAGAAAGCCGGAAATTTTAATCTGGAAAGAGAAAACATGTAAGATTCTGGTTCATTTGAGGAAAAAGACAATAGTGAGTTGGTTTAAAGTCAGGAAAGGTTGTCAGGATTTAGCTTTTAATTTGAAAAGTTCTCCAAAATGTAGTTTGCATTTTTGTGACTGGTCCCCACCCATCCCTGTCAGGTGGTGGAGAAGCTGATCCGCGGCCTGGCCATGGAGGACAGCCGGAACATGTTTGCTCTGTTCGAACACAACGACACCACAGAGAAGGCCGTCGAGAGTCGGACTGTGGTAGCAGATGTGCTCGCCAAGTTTGAAAAGTAAGCTCCAGCATTTAAGTCTAGTTTACAGGCATCCTTTAGCCTCTGGGTCTGCTATTAATGTTCCACTTCTGTTCTGCAGACTTTCAGCGAGCGCAGAGGAAAACAACACCGGCTGGAAGCTGTACTTCAAGCTGTACTGCTTCCTGGACACCGATGGCGTTCCTAAGGACAGCGTGGAGTTCGCCTTCATGTTTGAACAGGTGACCACTGTTGACCTTCATTTAATTCACCTCGGGGGTTTTTTGCATATATTAGTCTCTGCTGGGTAGCTGATTCAAATAGATTGGTCTGTTTATTCAAAAGAGAAAATGATAACATATCAGAGGAAACTTTGTTAAAGGAATGTTTTAATGTCTCTAAGGCTCATGAGGCAGTCATTCAGGGTCACTACCCTGCCCCAGAGGAGACTCTTCAGTTTCTGGCCGCCCTAAGGCTGCAGTACCTCCTTGGTGACCAAAACCCCCAGGCGAACATGCCAGAGATGTCCCAAGTTTTCCCCATGGCCCGCCTGCGCGCCCGCGTGCAGAACTCCGCCAAGTCGTTCGCTCCAGGTTCTGGTTCAGTGGCAGAACGCTCCGGAACGGCAGAAAGAAAACGCTCCAGCTTCCTGGAGGGGACGCTGAGGCGGAGCTTCAGGAGCGGCTCTCTGAGCCGGCAGAAGCTGGAGGAAGAGAACAGCCTGGAGGCCTGGATGAGGGAGGAGGCAGCGGCGGTGAGGACCAGCGTCATAGACAAGTGGAGGAAGTTCCAGGGCATGAACCAGGAGCAGGCCATGGTGAAATACATGGCACTAGTGAAGGAGTGGCAGGGATATGGCTCAACGCTCTTCAACGTCGAGGTGAGGATGGAACAGTTTCCTCTTGTAGGTTTTATGGAAACCGAGCCGAGCATCATTGACCCTCTCTGATAACCCTTCTAGTGCCGTGATGGAGCGTTCCCCACGGAGCTGTGGCTCGGTGTGAGCAGAGAGTCCATCTCTGTGTACAAACGAGGGGAGCCATGGCCTCTGGAGGTTTTCCCCTACGAGCTGATTCTGTCCTTTGGAGCGCCGCTGCCCAACATCTACAAGATCGCCGTGGAGGGCCGAGAGCTGGTCTTCGAAACCCAGATGGTCAGTACCACTCCAAACATAAATCCACCTCTATTGGTGCCTCCTATAAAAGCTTTAACAGTGTGAAACGTGTCAGCCGTAACAAACCTGAATGCTGCTCCTCTCCCCCTGCAGGTGATGGACATCGCTAAGCTCATGAAGGCGTACATCAGCATGATCGTGAAAAAGCGCTACAGCAACAGTCAGTCCGTCAGCAGCCACGGAAGCAAATGCAGTGCTTGGTGAAGTCGGCTGAAGGATGGAGACCCAGAAGGATTGACGCCACTCGTAAGGAGAAACACCACGGTGCTACTACACTGTCCTCACATGGAGGAACTGTTCGCTAACATCACCTTTAAGTGTTTGGTGAAACGTTTCTGATGTTAACTGTTCTTTGGATGCAAAGACAAGGAAAGTAGATGAGGCTGCACCTCAATCCGAAATCAGTGACATTTCTTCACTATGTCCACATTCTGCTGGGGGGATACCTGAGCTCAGACCAAAGTATCTGCAGGTCGGAGCTAATGAGAACATCTGGACCTTCAGGTATGATGCTCATAATCAGTCATCAGAGCAAACCACAAACTAAGGCTAGGTTAAAACCCCTCAGATAAAGATTAGATTTTCTCTATGGGCTACTTATGATGATGCTTTATATGAAGTGGAATGTGGTCCATTTAAAACCTTAAAAATTAAGACATTTATCTGAATATTAATAGATTTGGGCTCCAAAATGTTCCTGTTTTCCATACCAAAGAAAACCGGTTCTCATTGAGTCAGCATTGACTTTTAGCCACTTTTTAAAAAACATGTACAAAGTTGACTTTATGGCCATATCTTGTGGGGAAAAAAGGTTGAAACCCCGTGGCACACAGCAGTTACTAATAAAAAGACTGTCTGAATGTATTTTTCTCACTTCCAAAAACAAAACAAGCTGCCCTGAATACAATTCTCGAGCCTTTCGATTCTTTTATGACTGATTTACAGAGAATAAGAGATCCTAAAGTGCCTGAATGAACTCTAACCAGAAAATTTGCGGGTGAAAGTTTCTCAGAAAAAGAAAAAGGTGCTTAAAGGTTTCCTGAAACCGCTGAACTAGTCCAAGTGCATAAGTCATTCAAGTTTAAGTTTCCAAAATTTCACAACTCACCAATTGTTAGACAATCGTTAGCTGATACCAGATCCTCTGTATATGTTCTGGTGGACCACAAAAATATGCTTTTTTCAGGATTAGATATGAATCATTTTTAGGAAACCTGGGAACAAACAGCTTTTCTACAGCAGCAATCCTTACAGATCTGGAACATGTAAGCAGATGTTTGTTCCAGCGTTGACTGACCCGCTTGGTCCGACCCGGTTCGGCAGCGTGACATTCCAACATTTCTCTGGAGCTCCGCGGGCGGCAGATCCATCCAAAGATGTGCAGGTTCCTCCCACAGTTCAGTGCCTTGTTGTAAATTCTGTACTTATTTTGTTTTACACCTGCGGATTGGTATTTGGTATAATGTGCAATGTAATATATATACATATATATTATATATGATATAATCATGTGGACTGTACATTTCAGGTCTTTGCTTCTGATTTATCATCCCAGCATTTTTCTCTTGTTTTGTTTTTTTGTATTCTTTTAAATCTGAATTAGCAGCAATGTGTGTCGATCTGATGATTCTTACAATAAATAAAACAATTATGTTTGGTGAAACTGCTTTTTTTTCATTATTTTCTTATGATCTGAGTGAAAAAAAATCCCTAAATTTAAATTGGAATTCAAATTTTTACAATTTCATTGATAAAATCAGACATCATTGAAATCAGCTTCAGGATTCAAAGTCTAAAATGTTTATGGGAAAACCTGTAATGCATTACATTGACTTTTGTATTGTATTATTATGTAAGATCAGTGCAGTATAACTTTCATTGATAACCTACAATAAAAACATGCATTAATGTGGAGACAATGAATCAAAGATGTATAAAAAGTCCCATTTCTATGGCATCATCCCTACCTGTGTGACTATCTTGCCCTCAAAGCTTCCTGCAGGAAATTCATGCATTCTGACTAATCTACTTTCTAAAGCAGCGTCTTATTGGAATATGTTATTTTTCCCCTGAGTTTATGTTATAAAAGATAAAGCCTTCCTGTCAAGAAAGAAAACTAAACTAAACAGCTAGAAGCAAGATGGCAACTTTTATTCTGATTGGCCAGGTTGAGCGGTCACCATCCACAGCTTCAGCACACAGGTCAGCTTAGTTCATTTTTTCTTTTTTCTTTTACAGTTGTTCCTATTCCTATATTTAGATTTAGATTTTCACAAACTGCTTAAAACTGAAACTATTATTCAGTTGTTTCACCCTACATCGCTCACAACACTGCAGAACTAGTTTAATCAATACAAGATCCACAAAACAGAATTAAATCTGAGGGAGTCTGACTTTTTTCCAGTTTTTCTGAAGACATTTCAACAGAAAAACTGAGAGCAAAGTCTGGTAGCCTCCAGTTTAAATGTGTTTTGTGGTTTCCATAACTCAAATGATTTACACAGACTTTAGAATAAGACATTTCCAGCCCAAACCTAAGCTACATCAGCATGAAGTGTTTGTCCAGGTGGTGCATGTTAGTTAAGCTGGGAATTCAGATCCTTAAACTAATTTATCTTTGAACAAAGACAACTAGATTTAATGCAAAGGGTGCTTTAAAATTGGCATATAAATAGAAATAAATGCTATTCATAACTAATTCAAATCATGAAAATTGCGTCATGATGTGTGAAATCGTACTGCTCTCCAGAACATCTCACATAGTCCATCTCTCCAAAGGCTTGAAGCTTTCAAATCTGATGGATTTAAATGAATGAATCCACATTTCTCTCTGTGTACAAATATCCTTTATACATGACAACCATGTTACATACAAAGGAAACACATACAGTCACATTCAAGTCATATTTGTGCTGCACAATGAGACGTTGATATTAAGCCTCTTAAGGCACCAAATTAACCAAAAAAATCTTTAAAATCCATCCAATCCTTGGAAGCTCAACAGAGCATTGATCATAAACGTCTTAGTAAAGTGTGGTTAAATTCTTTGTCACAGCAAAACACTTTCATGTTAAATGAATGTTGCTTATAGCAGCGTATTCCAGAAAATGAACAAAAACCTGCTGCATCATCAATTGAAATCTGTACCATTCAGATGTCAGGTTGTGCTCATTAGAAACCATGTTGGCTTCTGTTTTATATCTATGTAAAACATTGATATGATTTAATAGACCTGCTTAGCTTTCTAACTAGTTAGAGTATAAACACTCATCTTTGCTCACTGACTGGGAAGTGTTTATTGGAACTAATGAGATAAGATCTAATTTACTGAGACTTTAAAATAATAAAAAGTTGCTTAATATTCATAGAAAATCAAAAGGGGATCATATTTGGACAGGAATATAAAGGTGGAAGCATCAACATTTTGTACTGGACAAACATTTCTGCAACACGCTGACCCTGTTCAAACTAAACACCTCGAGCCTCTAGTGGTTATTTGCATTACTGCTCTGTTAATTTCAATTTAGGGATAATAAAATACATTCTTGATAAAAAAAAAAAAAGAAGAAGAAGAAAATGTTTTATGCTTTAAAATAATGAAATAAAAAAGGGTTAGAGTTAAGATCTGTTACTTAACTTTGCTTCCACATTGATATTGTCTCAATCAGTATTAAACTGGGTTCAGATAAGAGTCCAGTTATTAGACAGACAGAAGAGACAGAGCTACAGTTATGATGAAAAGAACATTAATTATCTTTCAATCATTAGATTTTCTGTATCAGGACATAATTAAAAAAACTGGATGTTTATTGGGTAATATAAAGTGTAAAATAATGCACAACAGAATAGGGGTCATCAGCACTGAGATGTGGGTTAACACCACACCAAGACCTAAAGACATCATCACTGCAGGTGCAACCTTATGACCAGCAACTAATGCTGCTTATAAATCTTTAAAGGGTTATGAATGTACTATAGGGAGACAGTATCCAGTGGATAAAACATTTAAGGCAAATGCTAATCTTTTCAGTGGTGGAAGCAATGCAACACTCTCCAATCTTCAACTCTACAGCCCTCAGCATGCTAAATGTAAAAGTTCATAACAGGACAGGTCAAAAGTGGCTTGATTTGGAAGAGGCTGGGGAAAAAAATAAAAAGGGTTTAATTTCTCTTTAGAGAACATGGCTGGGTCTGCATGAAGAAAATTACTTCTGGAACAACATTCTATGGATGAGACCCAGACAGCTCAGCCACAATGATGTGGTTGGAGAAAACCATACTATAGAATATCAGTGCAAGCAACTACTGGTGGAGGGATGAACACCTGGGGTTGCATTGCAGCCATGGGAACTGCATGCTTTGTATTCATTGAGTCAACTATGACCTGCTTTGATTAACAAAGTATTCAGGAGTCTTATGTCTGACAGTTGAAGCTTAACTCAAACTGGTTAATCAACAATAATCCCAAACAGCAGACATCCAGTTTTTATTATGTCCTAGCCTTTAGATGAGTAGAAACACCTGCAAAAGCTAAATTAGCTGAAGTAATGTTTTCATTACGTCCTGATAATTAAAATCTAAGAACTGAAGGAGGGGGTTATTTTCTTAAAGATGACTGACAGCAGCTCAAATAATGTTTCTGGCCTGTAGTGACGGTCTACTTCTTTAGTTCACAGTGCTTAAAGTCTGAATACATCCTGACAAATTCCTCAGTAACAAAACGTCTTGGCACTAAAGACAGTAACAACCCTAGATTAGAAGTTTTCTGAATTTGGACCTTTAGAAGCTGCTTGGCTGCCTCTACTGAAAACATCAAGGAGTTCCTAAGTTCAGACCATAAAAGGTGACAGATCTCAAAGAGAAAGTTACCTAAACTGCTTCGACTAGACTGAAATAACCTATTATCAAACCTTCCTGATCTAGAATCTAAAGGATTAAATGAGCCCCAAGTTCTGGAGTAAGCAATCATAACAGAATAGTCTGACCTTATATACGCTACGATTTCAACTGTTTATGATGGATGAAACAGACTCAGCCACAGTGCCAACATTGTGTTCTTGAACATCCATCTTTATGTCTTGAAACAGCTGCTGTAACGTAAAGATGGAAGAGCAATACCTTATAGAGATTGGTTTGGGGACCAGCCCCAGAGAGAAGAAACACCCCAACTTATCTGAAGCACATGAAGCAACCAGAACGGTGGCAACGAAGTTTGAATGTATGAGCCTCCAGATTCCAAGAGTGTGATGGATCCAAGGTGTTTACTCTGCTTCAAACTGACGTTACACGAATGACAACCTCTCCCGAGTCAGCGTCCTGGCTCAGGTTGTTTCGAGGCACCAGCCCACGACAGAAGGGGGCCAAACAGAGGCAGGTCCACGGCCGTGACCCGAGCTGGGTGGGATGCAAGGGCCCGCCGGGCCCAAGGGTAGTCAGAGGCAACCAAAGCGTCCTGGGGCCCAGCGAGGAGTGGGCAGTGCTGGTCTCCTCCATGTCTTTGGCCTTGTCATAACTTTGAACATCCCAATGGAGGTTTACTGCTCGCCAGCGCATGAAGACGTTATACACTGCTGCCCCCTCATGGACTATCAAACCTGTTACAATGACAGCAGAGGAGGACAATGGGATATATGATAAATGTATGGGAGGACAGAGAAACCTCACTTATACGTAGCAACACAATGTCACTTTGAAATTTTAGAAAACAATTCAGCTTTGAATTTGAGTGCATAAGCGAGATCCTATTCTGAGAAATGATTTCCATAAATAAAATGTCCAGGGCCACACTTTTAAACCATTGACTTCTGAAGTTCTGTTTCATCCCTACTGACCGCCAGAGGCGGTGCTTGAAGCACCGCCTCTGGCGGTCAGTAGGGATTCATAGAACCGTAGTTACGGTAGTAACTTTCGTTCTCCATGTAGCACAGACGCTAATTTCCCTTTGTCAGAACAGAAACGGTAAGAAAACATGACATACTTAATCTTAATGCCACAAGCAAATAATGATATTAGAATAATTTAAGAATAATTTTAAACAACTGGAACTTTGAGACATAAAAAATCTTCATTATGGGATCACTGGGTTTCCATAGCAACCGTTGGAGCTATGTAAATGCCAGAAAAAGGCCCTACCAGCATAAATTTCTTTGAAATTTTAGGGAACTTTACAGGGCCTTTAACTGGACTTGTGTGTTTTTTGGTCACAAAAAGCTCTGATTGAGTTAGAGGATGAAACCTTTTAATCAACAAATACTGCAGACAGTAAAACAAACTATGTGATGTAGAAAAGCACATCATGTCCACTGTCAAGTAAGGTGAAGAATGTGTGATGCTAGGGGTCTGTTTCCCTTCCAAAGACTCTAGAAACACTGGCATTATTAAACCTTTTGTTATGGTAGGATATTGACTTGGCAGAAGAAAAAAACAATTAAACCCTGCAGTCCAATAGAAACAGTGCTGTGCTTAACAGAGGAAAACATGAGGAGTAAATGCTCCGGGCAGCAATTACTTTCTTTGTTTTTTTTCTGAACAATTACGCACAACATCAGTGTTGGATTTTTTTTTTCTGTTATTTGCTCCACATTATAACCTTGTGCCCTTGTACTTCTGTGTGATCTTTAACGGTGCAAAAATGAACTTACGGTAAAACAACCCACAATATCTCCAGAAAGCTTTTTTGCTTTCATTTGTGTAAAAGTTAAAGATGTTAAAGAAGTTAAAGCTTCCAAACTGACCTACGCAGACCAGATCCATGAAGCCGTACATGCCGTAGCAGATCTGGAAGAGCACATCACGGCGCTGCCAGATGGCCTGCGGGCTGAGAGCCGACCACAGCAGCCAGGAGATGCTGGCCACCAAGAAGAGGGAACCCAGGAACACGGCGATGATCTGCACCTTCTCCACCAGGGTGATGGTGATGGACTGCCACTGAGACAGAAGACATGGATAAAAACTGTTCAAACAGCGAGTCAGCAGGTGCACATAAGAATAAAATGTGGTAATATTTGATCTATCCTTCAAATAAAAGTCGGCAGGATCATTGCTGAAAGACAGTTTTCACTTTCTTTCATTTTTTAAAATGTTTTCTGTAAAAGAGTAACAAAGTTGTGTATAAAAATGAAGTGATTGGATGGATGATAGTCAAATTAATCCTAAAAAGCATGCTGCGCACATTTTGCATCGCACCTTTTACATTTATACCCCTAAATAAAACAATTATGATGAAATTTAAGAAAATAAAGTCATTTTAATAAACATGATCCACTCCTTAAAGTATGTCTGTACCATTAGTTATTTTATTTAGACACTACATGAAATGCACACAAAAAATATATATATATTTTTTTTTTATGCTGCCTGGTTCCATGTCAACCCTAGCCAGTATTATGAAGAGCCAGACTGCTGGATTTAAAGAGTCAGATGTGGCTCCAGGTTGGAAGATATGAGCTGTTTCTTTGTATTTGTCTAACAAACACTTTCATCTCTGTCCAAATCTGGATTTAAACTTTAATTACCATTTTAAGCAAAACCGAGATTGTGTTCCTTGCTTTTTAGCTTTATATTATTCAGCTTAACACAAAAGCAATTCAGATAACACCTTATAGAGTTTACTTTATTTTCCTAAAACCCTATAGAAAATAACAACAGGCACTACCTCTTGTCACTTCAGCACTTACATACTAAACTATATTTCATGAATTCAATGCTAATACAATCCTTTTATCTTTTTATTTACATACCTTAATGATACTCTGAATTATTCTTTCTCTCTGTCTTCATTTCTCTTTATCACCTCTAAGCAAATTGTCCTTCTTGGTATGGATGATCTGCACAATCTAAAACAACATGATCTACCTGTTGAGTCCCCATGCTAACCATCTGTCTAAGCAGTGCCCTGATGGAACCAGCTGAGTGAAGTACCTTTACCTGCCATGGTCTCTTCATGTTGATGGCGATGACCTGGAATCGATAGCAGCAAAGCTCACAGGTCCAGCAGCCTCGTTCGCTGATCCACTTCAGCAGACACTGCTGATGGGTGTACCGCACCGAGCCGTCACACCGGCACGGGTTCAACAAATCACCCTGTAAAACCAAAGAAAGTATAAGAATAAATAGGTCAAAGGCAAAGTCACACATATCTAAAGTATAAAATCAAAAAAGATAAACAAACAGCAGCAAAACCTGTGAAGTTTTTGTGCCTTTTCACTAATAATAAAACGTTTCTCTGCTATGAAAGTTTAAATTTTTTCCATATCAAAGGCTTATTTATGTTAAATAGATAAGCTGAGATAAACAAAACATGAAACCACAATTAATCAAGCAAAGTACTATAGTATAAAAGATATACTGGCCTTTATAAGAATATGGTACAAGAATAAATCTCTTGTTGCTTTAAATAAAACTGAGGGGAAGTTTTCAACTTTGATACTTTATGAGCATTAAATAAAATGTCATGAGTAGTTAAAAAAAAAAAACACAAGGATAGAAAAAATATATATTTTTCCAAACTAAAATAATGAAAACCGGTGAGGGTGGAAGTGGGTGAAAACTAAACAGAAAATAAGTAACTCCCAGATTTAGATGAGACAGCAATCTCCTGTATCCTCCTTACATCCAGATAAAGGAGTGAAGATGCATTTATGCGGGTGAATATTATAAAACCTTCAAAACTTTGCTCTAAAATGTATGTCTTTCCCAAAGAAAACAAACGTAATGTAACACCTAAAAGAATCACGTCTGCATTTAAACATGGTGGTGTGAGGATCATGCTCTGGGGTTATTTACAAAAGAAATATAGTGTCATGGAAATTATGAATAAATGCAAATACTGATAAGTTCTGATCTCAGGTGTTTCCCACAAAAACTAAATATAAAAGAATAAGTAAATAAAAATAATTGAACTTTATTAATTTCAAATTAGAGAAATCAACTCTGCATTTAACCCATCCTCTTTGGGGAGCAGTGGGCTCCCACTGTGTGGCGCCCGGGGTTAAGGGTCTTGCTCAGGGACCCAGAGTGCCGGCTGTAGTGATCGAAACGGATACTGGCAACCTTCTCTCAGCACAAGTGCACTGCTCTAACCACTAGGCCATCACTCCCCCTCAAAGAGGGATATTATATACATCAATATATATATATACAGTGAGTCCAATTTCACAATGAATATTATACATACTTTTCATAAGAACAGTGTAATTTAGGGAGGGATGAGAATATGAGGTAATTTAAGAGATTTAAAGTACTTTTGTGAAACATTTTTCCAAATATCTGCATTTTTTGAGGTTTGGTTTGTCATTCATACATGTAGCCTCTTTGTGGATGTGTTCCTCCAAAAATATATGTTTTTATTTCGTATATATTCATAAAAATAACAATATTTTGGGGAAGCAAACAGCTCAAACTTCAATTTGAAGATCCATCTAAAATAGTGATTTTCAAAGAGGGCCCGCCAGGGGCCGCTAGGAAAGCCTTAAAAAAAACTAGGGGGGAAAAAAAAAATAATATGCAAAAGAAAATATTAAAAATACATTTTGTTATCAAAAATATATATCTTAATCATCTTCTTTATAAACTATAACTTATAATCCTATATAATTAGCTTAGTTAGAGGCTCTTCCTCTGTCTATCTAAGCAAGAAAGGGCTATCCAACCTTGGCTGGTCCTTCAGGTCACTGAGATGCCGTTTGCTTTTACAATAATATACTTGTTTGTATGACTTGTTTGACTTTTAACTATAAAGCTACTCAAAACAAAAAATGAAGCATGTCCAGATGTGGACAGTGATGACACTAACAGGCCCAGTCCTTCCTTTACGCTCTCATAACAACAGCTTCATAAAAAATGATTGGTTACAAATATAAACAAAGTATAGACATGCTTATATTTTACTGCAAAGCAATTTTGATAATAATAAATGAACAGGAATAAAAGTAAATCAAACATTCTAATAGTTGACTTTTCTTTAGATATTTTATAGGATTGTTGGCTAATTTGCAAATGGGGTCCTTAGCTGGAAGCGGTTTGTTTTCTATATAAAGCCTTATCTGAGTAACATACAAGGTGAAAATCTAAAGCCTGTTTTTGACTTTCTTTTTTAAAACGAACCTCTTTAAGGTGATTAAGCTACAAATGTAAATGTGCTTTCTTTTGCAAACATTTGATCTGTTTTCATCAGTAAATCAGTGCCTAGTTTTATGTTTCCAGACTCAAAATTTGCTGATGGCTTCTTTAGAAATAGAGAAATAGAGGATGCAGGACAACTTGTGCATGTACTGTAGTGTTATACAGTATTACCCTAAACTTCACTAAGATGTCTGTAGCTGCAGCAGGCTTGATTAATGACAGTGGGTCCAGGTTGGTGGATCCTGGTGCCAAAAACCAGGAGGAAGATTAAAAACAGCAAAGTAAGGGGTTTAGAGCGATTCAGCACTGAATTTATAATCACTAAGTTTCATGTAGGTGTCTTTCATAATGCCTGGTTAGACTCCACTAACAAAGAGGTGCTTTATCATCATGTTTTGCAAGGAAAATAATGAAAGTTTCCTGAAAGGAACATTTTCAGAGCAACTATTGTGTCCTTGAAGCTCAGTTACTGCAGATTCCTGTAAGCAAGTAGGAAGCGAAGGGAGTGGCTTGGCATATAGAGGAACACATTTAATCTAAAGCAATGATGGCATTTTTCTGCAGATTTTCTCTTTTTACAGCAAGCATCTCAGGGATATTTGACTTTATTTTCACATAACCAACCAGATCCCTTCTGTACATTTGTCTTCACACCCTCCAGGCTGTTATACAAAGCGATCTGCATCTATCAAAGTTACAGTTATTCCATTTCACATCGACCAGTCCCTGTCGCATCTTTAATAAGTTTTGAGGATAGGAGAGAAGCTGTCTGTTTCTGATTTACTGCAAAACCACGGATCCAGGATTAATCCTCCATTCATTTCCATGATCTAAATTTCCCCTTCACCAAAACACCTTTTGTTTTAGAGACTCAACTTTGCTCTTTTCCCTCCAGCAGGTGATTCATCAAAATACACCCATAACTTGTCCACCAGAGGGCCTAAAGTCAGTGATCATTTCTCAAACCTACAGCAGGATGCGGCTTGGAATTAATCATCACAGCTATTTCTCCCTTTTCTCCTTCCTGTACTGTAGGTGTTTTTTTTTTCAGACTTTCCTGCAGGCCTGACCTGCCAGCTGGGTTGAGACGGGCATATTAATAGCATATTAAGGTCAGTGGAGCTTATTTTCCATGGAGTCATATTAACCTTATGTGTTTAAAATGACCTCAGAGGCTCTGAGTTCAAACTGGTCAGTCCTCCAGTAAAGGAGTGCATGATGAATCGAACAGAAAACATGATTTCAAAATTAGTCCTGACTTTAATGAAGGCTTTATGAAATGAATGTGACAAGAAGACGACCTACGGTAGCAGGAACAGAAACATAATCTATCCTGAAGCTACTCTTAAGTGCTGCTTTGGGAACCTTTATTTCCTTATTTTTCTATTAATAACTTTTAAACTTGACCTACTTTTAAAGGTAAAGTAAAAAGGTTTACACCGTTGGTACAAACATCAGAGGTTAAATGACAGGATCTACAGTAACTTCATCTTTAGAGAAAAATGCATCCTCCTTTCATTAAAGTGCAGTTTCTAAACTCAGTGATGTAATAAGAGTTGGGAGCCATCCGGGTCTTAATGTCCTTCCTATGAAATCATTATTAAATGCAGAAGAAGAAAGACTTTGGTTTGAACTCTACTGAACTAAAAGCTTGCAGAGGGCATTTAGGCATCATTCAGAAAAATCCAGTTTACACCTAAGATCCCAGCGACCTCAGTGTTCACTGCTGTTCAATTATTTGACTGAAAGTAATGATGAGTGGTCAGTCTTCCTCTTTTTCTGCTGTTCTCCAACATAAAACATCCCTGTTTCTCTCTTCTTGTGTCAGATGGTTGGATTTACTGAGACGATAACCTTCCTGAAAATTTGTTTTCTATTTTATCATCTGGTTTGGTTTACTTTAACTCCCAGCTTAGCTAACTGCAGTGTTTATAATTAAGTCAGCTAATCACTTTGATAATAAAGCTATATATACTTTGAGCATCTTATATATTTCATTTATTTACCTAATATAATGAACGTCACAGCAATTTAAACAGAAAGCCAACAGGCGGTAACACATAATACTTGTCTTTTCAAGAACTTCCCAGGTACATTCTCACATCTCAGAGGGTCATCTCTAGAACATTGCTAGTGCTTTAAACAAACTTTTCCTTTACTTTTTTTTTTTCCATAACTTACTATCTGGTACATTTCTAGAGCTTTCACTTTGGAATTTTTTTACAGCTAAATTTCCCAGTAACTTTTATTTCCCTACCTGAACAATAACTTTGTTTATGGTTCTGTCCTGAAATAAACTAAGAAGCTAAAGAGTATCTCCTGTTACTTTCCAAAAACCTTCTTTTCTCAACCATTCTTTTTACAACTTTCCAACAACTTACTTTCTTGTACTTTCACAGCTTTCTTCATTACTAGAATTTCCCTTGAATTTAACAAGTTACTTTCTAGAACCTTACAGGATACAGGATAAGACCTATATGATATACCAGATTAAACAAATAAATTTTAGGTCACATTATAACAGCAGCTAATACCCTGTCAGTTCTAGGAAAGTTAAAAAGATATTTCACCATCTATGTTGGACTGGAATATATTTTATTTATGTTTTATTTATAATAAGGTATATGCGAATATGTAAATACATTTGTATGGCTGTAGTTTTGATTTCTGAAGGAAAAATATCATTTGTTGACCTTAGGGCTTATTGTTTGGTTCGGCTAAGACTAAACATTTTGACAGGACAATATAATTAATGTAATGTCTTTAATCATAATATCAGCTTAATTTAGACATTTATAAAAGGTCATGTAAGGTCTAAAAAGTTCTAAATTAAGTTTGGTTTTGGGGAGCATGACTAACCGGTAAGTTTCATATAAAGGTTTAAGGTTTGTATTTCAGTTCAACTCCTAACATGCTTTCTGTGTTTTATTACAGCGCTGTCTGGAAGATTTAGAATGAAAAATGCCTTATAAAAGTATTTAGCCTCCTGAAACATCTTCAGTTTTGGACACATTATCATAAATTGAAATGTATTTTAACGTCGTTTTGCGGAATTGTCTTGTACAGAGGAGAACATAACTATGCAATGAGAGCGAAATAAGTAACAAGACTTTTGAAAGAATAAAAATCTGGAGAGTGATATTCATTTATAGTCAGAAAAAACTTTGATGTGTTTGTAGAAGCAATACTTCTGGGGTCAGCTTCACTCATCTAGATTAAGATTTTTTTTTTTTTATTAATGAAGGTCAGACAGAAAGGATGGAGAGCACCTCTGAACAAATGCTTTCAAATAAATTTACGTCTAGACTTTAAATAGGACATTCTAGAACATGATTCTGCTCAACCAAACCATTTTCTGCAGGTCTGGTTGTATGTTTAGTCTTTCTCAGCGCATCTGAAGTCAGTTTTCTTAGCATAGATTAAAATGGTGTAACTGTTTTTCAGAACCTCTGAAACATTTATTCCTGAAGCCATGATTATATTTTCCCAGAGATATATAAATATACGAAAGAAAACATTTTAAAAAGAAAATTTAGTTAAAATAAAAAAACATGCATTATTGGATTTTTGTGACATTTGCAAATGTATTCAGTATTTTTATCAATAGATCAAAGGTTTCTCAGAATAACTTTATTCCTGACACGACAGCAAAAGTGATCGGAAGTTCACCTATAATTCAAATTATTAAACTATTCAAGTTAAGGGAGCAGAAAAGGTGTCAAATCTGCTCAGCTCAGCTTTTCTAATGCTAAACCAGTCAGGCATCCACAGAGATATTAAATATGAATCTACCATATCATTTTGAGCAGGTTATTTTGTTTTTTGATAACTAGTAAGCTTTTCCTAGGCTCTCGGGCTTATATCACAATCAAATATAAGTCTGGACCCGGAGGCAGAGTTATTAGATTTGATCTGCTAATAGGCTGGAGCCCACGTTGAGAAGACAGGATATTCACTTAGGCGTTTACTGCCCTGACTCCTGTTTCCCTTAAGCTCTGCTAGCAATGAATCGTCCTTCATCAGGGGCCTCTGCTGTCACGAGCCAAACAGGCCTGCAGAGTCTCAGATTTCAGCAAAGCCTGGACAGAGAGTCGATTTGTCCCTGCAAGTCCACATCTGTCCATCCGCTTTCAGGAAGACCTGCAGACAAATTGGTGCATTGCTTGGGGAGGGAGCTTTAAACTGATTATGGTTTGGTCACTGTCCTGCACCTCTAGTGTGACAGATATGGTGAAGATTTGTATAGCTAAACCAACACATTTCATCGCTTTATGAGTATTTTAAAGTAATCTACATGAATGTTTGTCTCTTTGTCAGTTTTGCTGCTGTCCTAAGATTAAAAAATACATATTTAACATTATAACAAATGGCCTACACATGTAAGGCACTTTTATAGAGTCCAAGGACTCCAATGCACTTCACAGTATAATCAGTCATACACTCACTGATTCATAGTGGTAAGCTGCCGCATATCTCCTGCTAACTTAAAGGGCAGACTGCCATACAGTCAGCATCACCAAGCCCTCTGACCAGGCCCTCTGGCAGTAAAGTGGAGAGACATACCAGGGTTTGGAACCAGCAACCCACAGCTTACAGGATGATCTCCTACACCTATAACCCATTTAAAGAGTTGTGGTGTGATCTCTCTGAGCTTCTCCATCCCTTCACTCCTACTCTGTGCCTCAGGTCAGCTGAGTTGAATTGTTTTCCTCTTCACTGTCTATTTTTAAAAATTGTCTTATTTGGTGTAATTTTATTATTTCTATTTATTTATTTTAGTTATTTTATTCTTTTAAGCTGTTTTGTTGTTCGTATACTATTTTATTTATTCGGTATGTGCAGCACATTGTTGCAGCTGTGGTTGTTTGAAAGGGCTTAAATATAAAGTGGAGTTGAAGTTGAGTAATTGTAAATGTCATTTCGGAACATAGTTTCCTCTGAAGGACACTGACAAATCTCTAAAAGAATTTTTTTTTTTGTAATTAGAAGATTTTCGTTTAAAATTTACCGGCTGATCGTATGCAGGCAAACAAGGTAATCTAAGCCCACAGCACCTTGGATCCCACCCTATGCTTAACTATGGGCATGGATGGCTTTTCCATATATTAATCCTACAACAACCTATTAACTTGGAGAAATCTGGTTAAGTTTAAAGGCACATATAAGATCCTTAATATCACTGGTCGTTTCACAGGTGGAACATCTGGAGGAAATTGCGTTATTTCACTCAGGAAAACTGCTTTTAGTCACTAAGCCTTCTCTGATATCATTCCAACACCAATCAGGAAAAAATAACAGTTATAGTCTCTTCTGTGAATAGATGATAACGCTGACTCATTAGATTAGACCAGTTAACACTGAGCATGTGCTGCTGCCATCTTGTCTTTTCTTGAGTGTGTTTTTTGAGGTATTTCCATCCTGCTGCTGTTGTTTTTTTTGGTTGCTTTTTTTTTTTTTTTTTTTACATTTGTATAATAACTAATATTTTCCTGTGTCAATTGTGTCTCTTAAAAATTTTACTGTATTCTTAAAAGTTACTTATGTTATTAACGAATTTTAGGAATTTCATATCTTAAACATTACTTGATTTATTACTTGTTTGTTTCTCTCATTGTCTTGGTTTGTGTTGATGCTTCAAAATGTTTTATTGCATGCTTTAAATCTTCTTTCCTTGTATCTATTTACTTTACACCTTTTTAGGGGGCACTTTTCTCATCTCGTCATGAACTACGGATCCATTCTGGCCTTTTGGCAAACTAGCATATTTTAGATTTGCACTCTTATATGTAGGGGGTGCATTTGCATCAGCCGGTTGATTGATTGGCCCCAATTTCCTTAATTTTGGGAGATCTGTGATCAGTCGATACTTTAATGTGAAAACAATCTTATCCACCAACCTGATCTACCTGTACAGGTCTAAAAGTCACCCACTGTCAGTGCTCTAAACTTTCAGTTATATTTGAGAGCAGATATCTGATAAGTTGTAATCATTTCACAGGTGCTTATTAAACTAATTAAACTAAATTACCTTATACTAAACTATTTAAATTGTAATAATCAGAACAGGAAATGTATTTTTTGGAAGACATCAACCAACAATAGGTTGGCATAGAAACTAATGGTTGTGATGGAGGACATTCTGCTCCCTATGCATGTTTGCAAAATCAACTTTGATCATCAGTTACCTTTATTTGATTTTTTTCTGGATGTAGCTAAAGCCTAGTTTACACCAGTATTCATTTCCTTCCTTCTTGCACATTTTCTGTGTCAATTTCTTTTGACAATTTTACATTTCTTCTATTAAAGCCAGATTTGTATAGTTCTTAATAGTTGGCCTGTCAAAATTTCACCTGAGCCGGATATCTCAGCAGCTCCTCCATATTACCACCACTACTCTCTTGGTGATGTGGATTGACATATCTTCTAAGGTCATTGTCCTCCCTGACCTGCTCTTCATTAACCTTCTTATGCTCTTTATTTTAGGGCAAAAACATACAATAATTGTGTATGTTTGTGTTGATCTACAAGAAAATGTAAATGAAATATATGAATAGTTGTGTTTGTTTCACAAAAAAAAGCCAAAATGCATAGGAAGACTTTTAAAAGGTTCTGTCATCAGGGTTTCAGCAGGTTCTTATCAGTGAGCTCATTTTTAGAAATGGTGATAAACTGTCAGGAGTGATTTCAGCTCCATGCTTATTCAGTCCTGCTCTCTGAATTATTAATAAAGCAATCACACCACCGCAGATTTCTAACAATAAATGCTTCAGATTCCTGTTGCGTCTGATCCCAGAGAGCTCTCTCAGCAGAACTGAAAGTCATCTAATCAGCATGAGAAGCTGCCACTCAGCAGCTTGACGTCCCTCTAATTAGACTAGAAGCTGCCGTCAGCCAATCAGAGGACAGCATGCTCACCTTCACTGTAACTCCCTCCACGGACAGATCGGCTGGAGAGCAGTGAGAACCAGAAGCAGCAGCCTACCTGTTCTGCTCCCTGGAAGCAGATCCTGCAGCTGGGGGTCGGGATGCATGTGTCGCTGCTGCAGGTTGAAGGTATCGCTTTGTCAGATCTGCCCCCCACCGCCCCCTCCTCGCTGGAAGTGTTCCCCCCGTTGTCCTCTCTGAATTTCCCATCGTCAGCCGCACGCGCCCGGCCCTCCTCCTCCTCCTCTTCCTCCTCCTCATCCTCTCCTGGCTGCGGCTTCTCCTGGCCGTCGGGCTGCGGACGTCCTTGGGAGCCGAGCGGGTCGCTCTCCTCCCAGGTGTGGCGTTTGTTGTCGGTCGGAGACCCCCTCGCCTCCCCCCATGCCGCTCCCGCATCTCCCCCCTCTGTGCTCATAATAAAATGCAAAGTCAATATTCAATTGCATAGATGCCTCCCCCCTTACTGCGGGATCCACGTCCACTGCCACGCAGGGATTTGATCAGATCCTCCTCGGTTCGGCTCTCCTAAAAGAGCTCGGTCCGCCCGCGGAGCTGCACATCAGCAGCCGGAAGCTCCTGATGCTGGAACCGCCTGATGCGCTCCGGAGAGCCGCACAGCAGCTCCATGTTCCTCCCTTGTCCAGATCACCTTCTTCCCCCCCTCCTCGGAGCAGAAAGATTAAAAATCTAAAAGAAGTCCTCCTCCTCACCCCGCTGTGGAGCAAAAGAAAATAATCCTTCCCAAGTCAGCTGCAAGTTCTCTGAAGAAGCCCTGATCTGTCAGGAAGCAGCAAAGAGCATTTCTCCTCGGAAATGACCAATCAATCAAATTATTATCCCATTAATATGATGGAGGAGACGAGTTTCCAGAGGCAAACAGAAACTACTCTGAGTAGAAGCGGCTATAGGAGGTATGAGCTGGCTGATGATCCCAGCAGCAGCATCAGGACCAGGAGGAGGAGGAGGAGGCTCCAGGTCAGTCAGTCTGACACAGAGAAGACTTGATGTGCTGAAACGTGGCGACCCGCTCAACTCCTCCTCCTGGTCTTAAAGGAATCACCTGCTGGTGCACAGATGTCATCAACATCATCATCACTGTCAGGAGTGAATGTGGCTTTATAAGGAAAGTCAGATGAGAATATAAAACCTGAATAAGTAGATGCAGAAAAAATGTATAACTGCAAATCAGTTTCTGGATTTTGATAATTTTCCAGCTATCTGGTGTCTTCTGGGCAGGGCAAGTTTATTTGCATACTGCACATTAAGTACAAGGACAATTCAAAGTAATCTACATACATTAAACGGTAAAATAGAAGACAATAAAAGCAAATAATAAATGTAATAAACATCATAAAAGTAGGTAGTAAAACAAATAAACCAGTTGGATCACAACCTTAAACTAACAATTCCTCTTTTAGAAGTTTATCTTCAGCAGTGAAAGACAGCTCAACTAAATGGATTTTTTACTTTGACCTAAAATAACTTGGGTTTTCATCACTTTTCTAGTCTTCTGGGAGTTTGGTCCAGAGCTGTGGAGCATAGGAACTAAATGCTGCTTCTCCATATTTGGTTCTAGTTCTGGGTGAACAGAGTAGGCTGGAACTAGAAGACCTGAGGGGTCTGGGAGGTCGATACACAGACAACAGATCTGTTATGTATTGAGGTGCTGATTTATTTAGTAATTTATAGACTAACAGAAGGATCTTAAAGTCTATTCTATGAGCTACAGGGAACCAGTGGAAGGACTTCAGAACTGGGCCGGTGTGCTCTAATTTCTTAGTTCTAGTGAGAACTTGGGCAGCAGAATTTTGGATCAGCTGCAGCTGTCTGATGCACTTTTTAGGCAAACCTGTGAAAACACTGTTGCAGTAATCGATTCTACAAAAAAAAAAAAAAATGCATGATGTGTTTCTCTATATCTTGCTCCGACATTAGTCCCTTAATACTGGAGATGTTCTTCAGGTGCTAAAAGGCTGACTTAGTAACAATAATAATAATAATAATACATTTTATTTAACAGCGCCTTTCTTGACACTCAAGGTCACTTTACAAATAATACAAAAAAAAATAAATAAAAAGAGATGAAAATACAAAATACAGATACAGGAACATAAAAAACAAAAAACAATCATGGATAGGGAAAAGAGCAGTATATTCACAGATAAGCAAGCTGGAACAGATGGG